AAATTATTCATATAAAATTAATTATTCAATATTATTTAAGAATAAAAGAATGAATATGTTGAAATGATTTCAATAGCATATTTAACCTCTAATATCATCAATTCCAAATCTACACAAGATTTTAACTTTGCCTTTATAAAATTACATAAGATATTTTTATAGATTTTGCAGTATTTAACTTATATTTAGAAAAATAGAAATTAAATATGAAAAATAAAAAGAAAATGTAGGATCTTTTTTAACGGAAGGAAACTCTAGCAGGCATCTTTTATTTGATTGAAGATGTAGATGAACAAATCTTTGGGATTATATTAGTAATATTAAGAAAGGAAAAAGCGTAAGACTGCATTAGATTTCTATCAGATAAGGGGAATCAAAGACAATTAGAATCATAAATTTTGCAAAAAGTAACGAGCTTTACCTAAGCTGATACAGAATGGAAATTGTCAGTTGTTAGAAAAGACTTGAAAAAAGCTAACGATATCCTAAAAGAATTAAAAGATCATGACTTCAATAAGTTAGACTATTCCTCTGAAGAAAATGAAGAGTCTACATTAGGTCTTATTAAAAGCATCAAGGATAATAGAAGGATCATTGAATTTCTGTAATTTTTGGTTCTCCTCACCTCTATTGATAAAAATTTAATATAGGGTGGGTCTAATTCATTACATTTATTAGTCTTAATGAAGGTAAACCTTAGGAACAAAAATTTTGAAAATATAAAAATCTGTAATACTTCTTTAGAGGGAGCTAATTTTGTTAGGTGTAATTTTAGTGGATCTTAATTTAATAATGTCAACATAAGCGGAATAAATCTAAATGGGGCATTATTATTGAATTGTAAGTGGAGAGACTTAATAATCCTTGAATTAAATAAATTACATGGTCATGATGATTAAGTAAGTTCAATTTGCTTCTCTCCTGATGGAAATACATTAGCATCTGGTAGTGATGATAAGTCTATTCGTCTTTGGGATGCTAAAACAGGATAATAAAAAGCCAAATTAGATGGTCATACTAGCGCTGTCTAATCAGTCTGCTTCTCTCCTCATGGAAATACATTAGCTTCTGGTAGTAGAGATAACTCTATTCGTCTATGGGATGTAAAGACAGGATAATAAAAAGCAAAATTAGTTGGTCGTACTAGCGCTGTCTACTCAATCTGTTTCTCTCCTGATGGAAATACATTAGCTTCTGAAATTGGTGATGGGTCAGTCCTATTATGGGATACTAAAACAAGAAAGAAAAGAGCCAAATTATATGGTCATTCATTTTATTTCTACTCTGTCTGTTTCTCTCCTGATGGAAATACATTAGCTTCTGGTAGTGTAGATAACTCTATCCGTCTATGGGATTTCAAAACAGGATAATAAAAAGCCAAATTAGATGGTCATACTAGTGCTGTCTAATCAGTCTGCTTCTCTCCTGATGGAAATACATTAGCTTCTGGTAGTGTAGATAACTCTATTCGTCTATGGGATGTAAAGACAGGATAATAAAAAGCAAAATTAGTTGGTCCTACTAGAGCTGTTAACTCAGTCTGTTTCTCTCCTGATGCAACTACATTAGCTTCTGGTATTTATTAAGGTATTTGTCTATGGGATGTAAAAACAGGATAATTAAAAGCCATATTGGATGGTCATGAGAATGATGCTATGTCAGTCTGTTTCTCTCCTGATGGAAATATATTAGCTTCCGGTAGTAGTGATAACTCTATCCTTCTTTGGGATGTCGAAAGAGGATAATAAAAAGCCATATTTGATGGTAGTATTAAAGATGTTAATTCAGTCTGTTTTTCTCCTGATGGAAATACATTAGCCTCTGGTAGTGATGATAACTCTATCCGTATTTGGAATGTAAAGACAGGATAAGAAATTAAATCCTCTGATAAAAATTACAAAGATCTTTTAATATAATTTACGATTGCATTCCAAAAAAATAATTTTCTATCAGAAGGTTGTATATATCTATTTGATATTATTAGGCTCTAATTACATTAATATACTTCGTATATCCCAAGAGGCTATATTTCAAGCTAAAGGAGCTTTTATTCTAAAAGGAGAATTTTTTGATGAATCAGGTTTTGATTTAAAGACATTTTTGAAACAAAAAGGAAGTTGCTTTTTAGAAGATTTAAAGAAAAAGTGAATGTGATTATTATCAATACCCATACAAATAGAATTACTATCAATTTTTAATATTTTTTCATTATGTACTTATATGCTGTGCTCCTTTCCACTTCTTCAGATAGTTAAGTATATATTTTTCAAAATTTATTTCATTTTACCTAAATGAATTGAGATGCCATTAAAAATGTTAATTATTAATATTAAGAGATTTCAAAGTAAATTAATATTATGAAAGGTTTACTTAATTTATGATTATTTATAAAAGGGATTGGTGCTAAAGTTATCAAATTTAAGAAGAAGAAAAAGAAGGGATAATGATTAATGATCAGTATTTTTACACATATGCATAATTCATAATTAAAGTATAAAAAAATTAATATAAACCGAAAAAGATCAATGATAGCTTTAAATTATATTTAAGGATGTATAGGTTCATAATAAAATTCATCAATGACTCTATTGTTATTAATTTTTATTAATATTTAATAATTTAGATTTAAAAATATATCTAAATTTTTCATTAAACAAAAATCAATAAAAAATATGACTTAGTGGAACAATTTTTTGGAATAATTTTTATATAATTTAGAAATTTTCTTATTTAAAAGAATAC